GCATTGTTGTGTTGTACTCGGCATTGTCGTGTTCCACAACAATGCCGAGTTTGTTTATACTCGGCATTGTTGATGACGTAATTTATTGACGACAACGAGGAATCACAAATTTTTATAATAAGATATGTACCTTTGTAGTGTGGTTTGAAAGCTATTTTAAATCATGGCTGAAGTTGATATGAAATGAAAGACTGTCAGCACAAAACAGATATAAAAATGAATTACGTAAAAAGTCGCCCAGTACATGTTTTGACCCTTCGATCATCAGGTGGATTATATAAATATAAAATTCATTACTGAATTAGTATGTGAAACAGGAGGAGGCATCCTCTTTCATATCAATTTACATTGTCTCTCAGCATGTGTAAAATTTAAGATCCAGAACATGAAAACATAAACCCATGTTTGAGAAGTGGTCAGTAATATCTGACAGATGACTCATGCTTATGTTTAGCGTGACTCTTAAGCAGTGCCTTGATATCAGCTAGAGTTGGAGGGGGCATATTCTGCATTTTCTTTTTGTTTCCATTCAGTGTGGTTTCGTACAGGATGAGGTCCAACAAATCCAGATCAAGGAAGAGTTCAAAATATTCAACAGGCTGAGTTGTCCAATCAAAACTTTATGGTACAACTGTTTTATGTCAAATATTTTGCACTGAATGTTTTAAACACGGGTTTGCAAATCCCGGTTTTGTTGTGTTAGCTATACATGATGCTCGGTGGTATTTAGCCCCTTACATGGATACAATATGAAAGTGTGCGATAACAGCAGATCATTATAAATAGATATAAGCAAGTTAAATTTTATGTTTTGCACATTTTCTAGTGTTTACGTTCTTTGTTACTTAGTGTATGTACATCCCTAAAGTCAGAGAATGTATAAGGACATTCTGTGAGTCTCAGCGTCATTCTATTATCTTTTAAGTCAGAATTGCGTGTATATGTGCTCAATGACAAATTGAAACATTGAGAAATCCAATGATAATTCTCAGTGTACCTATTCAGTAGGTGTAAGGAAAAGTCGATAGTTTTTTGTGGTGAGTGTCCTGTGTCATAGTACATACGCTTCTGTGCCGCGTGTAGTTTCTTACAGGTGATTGGCACAGTTTGTCGGATTTTAGATGCCATCTCATCTGTTACGCTACGTTTGTTTCACCAACCAAACGGTGGGGTCTGCACCATAGCTGCAATGCCTTCATGTTGCAGAGCAGTGCTGGTTGGAAGATATTATTTGGGTCTGAGTGTTCTAGAGTGTTTAACGCTGCGGAGGTTTAAGAGCTAATTAAGTTCAGGATATGTTTGTTAGTACAGAATCTTTTATCTTCCCATGTTCTATATAAGAACCAAAGGATTAAAATATACAAAACTGTATTCTTCCCTGTTATGATGTATGAATGTGAAATTCATTCTCTTGCTCCATGGAAGTAATATAGAATATAATATAGAACCAAGAAAGAAAGAGAATGTAACAAAGAGTGGAGAACATTGCTTAATGACGAAGTTCATAATTTGTGCTCTTTGTATAATATTACTGTGACAATTAAATCGAGGAGGATAATGCAAGTGGGACATAGCACAATTAATGGAAATAAGAAATACATTTGAAATATTGGTCTTAAACTTCAAGAAAAATGTCTACTTCTGAGATCTGAGCATGAATGGGAGGAGAACACTGAAATTTATCTCAAGAGAAATAGACTGGATTGAACTGGCTAAGGTATGGTCCAGCTGTAGTCCTCTGTGAAGATTTAGCGAAGGACTGTCTCATTCTAAAGAAGGATTCAGAGCTGTGGAGTTTGTTTGTTACGTAGTATGTGGTTTGTTAGTTTGTCAGTTAATCAGGAATCATGTAATCCAACCGTGTGATTGACTTCATTAGCCCTTTTAGGAATGCACTTGAAGAGGGAATGATTTTTGACATGTAGTTGATAGGAGATGTTGAATGTGTAAGTACAGTGTTTTGTTGCAGCATGTGAGTGCAATGATCAGGGCTCTGAGTGCCATCCGGATACTGGGAAGTGTTACTGCACCACGAAGGGTATCGCAGGGGACCACTGCGAACGCTGCGACACACATAACCACTATTATGGTGACCCAACTAATAAAGGTTCATGCTACTGTAAGTACAGTAGTGATTGGTAACTTGGACTTATGATTATGGAAATTTATACTCAGTTTTATATTTACTAAAATCTGTCAAGTGACTCTTAACATACCCTTGAGCAAAGTGGCCATTTGACTATACCAAAATCAAAATGGCTTAGATTAAGTTTTCAGAAGTCAGAATCATAAACTTGAATAATATATTTATTTTATTTATAGTTTATTTTACGAAGCTTTTTCAGTAACTCAGACTATATAGTGTTAAATGAAAGGTTTACAGTGAATAATAAATTTGAAAGCATGTGGAAGGAAGTGGTCGTGACCTAATTTTGGGTACTATCCCAGGATTTTCCTGGGGGAGGGGGAGGTATAGCTTCTACTCGTTCTTGACCTCAGCACCAGATGGGAGTGAGTGGTCAACATCACGGGCTTTACTCCTGGAAGAGGTCTTCGGTACACTTTGGATACAAGGCTGGGTGGGCCCCAGAGGTAGTCAGGACACGGGCTAGAGGAAAAATCCTCTGACCCTGCTGGGGATCGAGGCCCGGTTTTCCAGTTCGTACCCTTTCATTGTACTGACTGAGCTACCCTGGCTCCCTGAATACGAAGCAGGAGTGCTAACCACTCGACCATGACGTGTGGTTTGAACAGTATAAGACTGCAGAGTTTTAGAGAGTAATTTGTGACAATACAATCTTTGAATTAAAAAGAAAGGAAAATATACGTGTACTGACTTGAAGCTGCATGTGTTCTTTGCACCATTGCTAATCTACTGTGATACCAACTCATCTACTGGTAAATGTAAATGTTTAATTGAAGTAAAGCGTTCACCTTTGTTTTGTCATTGAACCTAGCAACACAGCTAAAAAAAAAGTCATTAACATTAATCTATGTTCTTCAGATTACACAGATGTATTGGTGTCTTTGTTTCATTGAAGTCTGGCGTAAGAAATTATATGTAGTGGAAGATGGAGAAAAGTTATATAAGGAAAAATAAAAGGAGGTTCTGAATGACTGAGTTATGATCTCAGCTTTATGCTTATATCAGTTCCATTTTTGGACTTAGAACATTTCAACCACTTGATTTTTCTTGCACAGAGTGGTTTGTCTCCTCCATTCAAGAGATTGAAGTCTGTTATGGCATGCCAGTGTACCAACTTGACATTGCACAGTCTGATGGAAGGGCTACTTCTTAATGTCTCCCATGGGCATGTAGGGTTCCAGAAATGTTAGTCCATCAGGAACTGGGGGCCCTGTTGTCTGACAGGCACTATACTGTACACACTGGTACATTTGAGGTGCACGCTCTTTACCGGTTACTTAGCATTGTGATTTATTTCAGATGATCTCACAATTGACTACCAGTTCACATTCAACCTGTCAAAGAAGGAGGATCGTCACTATACGCAGATAAACTTTAAGAACAGCCCCCCAAAACCTGATGTCGATGCCGATTTCAGTATCACATGTTCTGTCATGGCGAAGATGAATATCACCATGAAAACTGGTAATTACATTAGATTTTTTATACATACAGTCTTGTATTGAGTTGTGGGGAATTGTAAGAAACTGTGTGGCTAACTGCATGGAGTATAGCCTTTCTTGAAGACCTCTTAATTGCTTAGTGTGTCAAGAAATGTTTAAACTTACTGGTTTGATACTATGTTCACAACGGCTTAACACTTGACCTTATCCTAAGCCACATGAATTGAAGTGACATTTTATGTTCTTTTTTTTACCGTCATCACAGCGAATTGCACAGACTTGCATATTACTACACTGAATACCTTGAGTGGATCAAAAGTTTAACAGATAAACAAAATTTACTGAGGAAGACTTGGTTTGAAATTCTGTGAAATTTAATTTGACGTTATCTTTGAGAAAGCCAGAACCAGCAAGTATTAATAGGATGACAACATTTAACAGAGAAGCAGTGTCAGAAGTCTTTGATAGCCTGTTATCGCTATATGAGAAGTATCTCCTCCCTACCGTAAAAATCTTTATTCATGGTGAAACTAGATTATTGATATGAAAGCACATTCGCAGTTTGGTGCTGATATAAATTTCAAGAGAGGGAAAAGTGTTACAGTTTCGTGTGTTGTAAGCAAATCTGGATACTTTGTTTATCAATTGGAAATTTTTCCAACGGAAATGCATTACTCCATTTCTCGAGAAAGGGGACCTCCAAGGTGGAACAGCGAGGAATTGTTTGTTACGTGGTTGCACCACTATTCCGCAGATGCCAGATACTCACCTAATGAATAACTTTTCTTGATTTATGTCAATGATTTTGGTCATATTTCTTTACCAGGCTGTGACTTCTGCTGAAAAGATCCCGTTGTTATTCTTTCGATTCCAGCTAATACGTCTAACCAACTACAACATTTAGATTTAATATTCTGTGGCTGTTGTAAGTTCTTCTGAAGAAAGTGAGAACCACAGGGACTTTGTGGTTTTGTCAGCCTGATACATTATATGACATTGATCTGTGTGTGTGTGTGTGTGTGTCTCTCTCTCTCTCTCTCTCTGTAGTTAATATTTTAGAGTTCATCTGTTTCTTTTCTCCTTTCAGCCAACAGTGCAGAAAGGACACTCATTACGAACCACAACTGTACGTCGTTTCGAACACGCTTCAACAAGGCAGATCATATCTTTGGAGTCGAGGACAACGTCACATTCACAACGTTCTACGTATATGTATATGACTTCCGCCCACCGCTGTGGATACAGATTTCATTTTCACAATATCCAAAACTGAATCTGCAGCAGTTCTTCATCACCTTTTCAACGTTAGTAATTTGCATATCGCTTTTGTCATTTCGTATATTATTTTAAGAGCTACTGCATATTACAGTCAAGTGAATGGCATGCCTGTTTGGAGGTCCTGTGTTCATTTATTAATCCAGAGAAGTTTTATACAGTAACAGGCCTCTTGTCATGTATCTGGGAAGAAAATGGTTTAGAGTGGTTGATAACACATATTTTTACTGACAGTTTTCCTCATTCACTCATGTGAACACCGAATTAGTGTGTGGACACAGTAATTAACCAATGTGTAAGAAAATGCAGGGAATTTCTTGACCTAGCAAATAACTATCAGCTTTAAGTAAATTTATTGCTTTGTAATGTACACAGATTCTTATGGGCTGAGATTAATTTCTGCAGCACCTACCCAATATTTATTCATATATTATCTGTCACAGAGTTAAGCCTTTATACAGCCTGGCTTGTGATTCTAATTGTTATTGTTCGTATAGTTATCTTATTGTGTTTTAGTACCTTATAGGGTGGGTGAATCTTTCAATGTTTTGAGGCGTAATATTTAAATTCAATTTTTCTATAGGTGCAAATAGCCTTAGAAGTTGGCGTGCCTCTAAACCCACACTCCCCTTCAATAGCTTGACAGTTGAGAGCATAGTGTATTTACTGAGGTGCCACATAAATAAATGGCGTGTGGGCAACAGTTTAATATCCCTGACCACTCTGACTGATATCAATTTAAATTTCACAGTAGTGTCTTTGTAAGGGGTGGGATTGTCTCATGCAGACACACAAGAAGAGGAAAGTCTCTTTACACTTTTTTGCAAATGTATCTGAAAATTTCAGTATCAGATTTTTGTATATCTTGGACCAAGATGACTTTTTGTTAACCTCTCTGTCCCTTCTCATCCTGTCTTTCACATTCCTTTCAAAGTATGAAACCTGAATAGATGGACCGTGATGCTCCCCACAGAAAACATTTAAATATTTTTATGTGCTACAGTAATTCCAGAATAAGTATTCATTTTCCTATATTTATGAACAAGAGAGGAAAGATGCACTACAATTTTGAGTTTGTATAGTTTCAAATCTTTTCTTTGTGTATTTCACTGATATGAATGTCCATTTATTTCATGTACAATCAGGAGTTGAATAGCTAGTCAGTATGCATATCACACGTAAGATTTGAGGTTTTCACAGCGGTGAGTATGAAGATTTCTGTCGTCTGGGTTGTTGCGCTGTGTAGTCTGGTCGATGTTAATCAACGTTTCAGAGGTCATACTGCCTCCATCATCAGGGCGACGAGTATGAAGATTTCTGTCGTCTGGGTTGTTGCGCTGTGTAGTCTGGTCGATGTTAATCAACGTTTCAGAGGTCATACTGCCTCCATCATCAGGGCGACGAGTATGAAGATTTCTGTCGTCTGGGTTGTTGCGCTGTGTAGTCTGGTCGATGTTTACCAACGTTTCAGAGGTCATACTGTCTGGTAAATCCTAGGTTTCAACAACATTCAGGCTTTTACGGTAACATAGATACCAGAATACATGCTGTCTTGGTCTTCAGTCCAAATCCACACACCATCTGAACCCATTAGAACCTGAAGTCTTACATGCCCCTAATATTTTTTTGTATTCATATTATTCGGTGTGTTGTTTTCTTTTATGCAGCCCAGTGCACATGTGACGTGCTCAAACTCATATGAGCACTACAGGTTGTATAAGACTGAATGAGCATACAAGATTTGCTAGATTCTTTGTGTAGTTATTTTACATTCCATTTATATTTTTGTAGCTGCTTCTTGCTGTTGCTTCTCGTGGCTGCCATTCTATGGAAGGTCAAGCAGAAATATGACATGTACAGACGGCGCCAAGTAAGTACATCGTTTGTTTGATCTTGTGGAAGCAATGATTCATAATTTAAAAGTTACGTGTTGTGTAAAGAAGAGACTGCATTCTGGTATTAACATTTATTCTCATGATGACTGTTTTCAGCTTATGCATTGTTAGTTTCTGATGATGGGTTCTTTTCATTGTCAGAGTAATTCTGAGTACAAAGTTGCATGAGAGTGCTCACGTACCCACACACCTCGTTATGTAAAGAGCTGAATATTTGTCTAATGTAGAAGTTAAAAATGAAAAACTAAGAGCTGTCAGTTATTTTCGGTGTGTGCATTGAATTATCATTTTCATCACATGATACAGAGTCATTACGCTACTTATCTTTCCATGGAAGATGTGTAATAAATGTAGTATACTTTTATTGTTTAGAGGTTGTTTGTGGAGATGGAGCAGATGGCCAGTAGACCATTTTCGCAGGTTCTAGTGGAGATTGAATTGCGGGAAAAGGCAGACCTCTGTTCAAATACAAATCCTGCAACCCTCAGAAAGAGGAAAAAGGTGAGTCAAGTGATAGCCATTACTTAGTTTTGTTTTAAAATTCTAGAATAGTGGAAACTAATGATATTCAGCAATGGTGTAAAAGTTGTAAGGTACAGTCCCATACATGATTTTTACCCATTATGTTTAAGAAACCGCTTCGTTTAGCTAATACAATGTGATATTAGGGCTCAGCAGATCTCAGGCGCTTTTTCTACGTAATCTATGTTATCATTTGGAAAGAATATATGGAGCAATATGACTGGCATAATTAGTAATTTGAATTGATAAAAGCCATTCGAAATGCGTGCTGCAGAGCCTTCCAGTTGTGTGGGTTATCGTGAATGTCATTGAACAATGTCTTGACAGTGTGCTTGAGTTTCGGGCAAGTTATATGATGTGTTACATTGATAAATAGCGCTGTAGTCAAAGAAGCAATTTATTCAAATGTATCCTTTATCATATAGCCACGGTGGTCTAGCGGTTAGAACGCTGACCTTGTAATCCTGGGGTCTCGGGGTCGATTCCCGGCGGGGCCCGAATTTATAACTTGTGTCGGGCAAGGCCGTGGTCTAGGCAACACGGAGTTTCCCCGGTTTCTCCGTGGCATCCCAACAATTACTCCATTCACACACAGAAGAAGGCAATGGCAAACCACTTCTGGGTCATCTGCCAAGAACGTATATGAACAGGTCCCAGTCCGAGGAAAGGATGGAAGGATCTGTTCATATGGACCTGTCGTTAGACAGAACACTAAATAATAATAAGATGAGGTGGTCTAGCGGTTAGAACGCTGACCTTGTAATCCTGGGGTCTCGGGGTCGATTCCCGGCGGGGCCCGAATTTATAACTTGTGTCGGGCAAGGCCGTGGTCTAGGCAACACGGAGTTTCCCCGGTTTCTCCGTGGCATCCCAACAATTACTCCATTCACACACAGAAGAAGGCAATGGCAAACCACTTCTGGGTCATCTGCCAAGAACGTATATGAACAGGTCCCAGTCCGAGGAAAGGATGGAAGGATCTGTTCATATGGACCTGTCGTTAGACAGAACACTAAATAATATAATCCTTTATCATAGTGTTAAATTTCTATCATTGTAATGTATAGAGAATGTGGTGCCTTTATACTTGTCTGTATTAGTTCAAGTGCACTCGTTACAGGACTCACCCAGTCCGATTGCTCTTGAACCGTGTTGTGGGAACAGAGCTGCTGTCCTCTCTCTTCTTGTTCGACTGCCAACAGGTGGTGAGGTGTTTACGCCTTCAGGACAATCAGGTCAGTGTGCTATCCTGTTGCTATGTAAATGACCTTGTGAACACTAACAAGTGTGAATAAAAGTCAAGATACACCACAAAGTGTTTCGAAATCATGTGTGTTAACATAGATTTTATGTAATGTCATACCTCAACACCAAAAATAGAAGAGGTCTTATTATTAAGTATTTAGTATAGTGACTGTTGTAGGATTTGAGGTTTTGATTGCCGTCTTCTGGGTTGTTGCGCCGTGTAGTCTGGTAGATGTCCACCAGGGACATCGCGATGAATGGCCCTGATGACGGAGGTAGCATGACCTCTGAAACATTGGTGGACATCTGCCGACTACACGGCGCAACAACCCAGAATTTATCCTGTCTTTTCTGGAGTAATTGATCCTGTATAAACCAAATTGAGTTACACTAAATAAGTGTTCATAGTAAAATCAGAAAGTAAGTTTATGTGGCATGTAATTTGTAACCCAAACAAATGCACAGTGACGCTGCACATGTAAGAGAACATTGTTTTAATAAGGAAATTAAACTGGAACAATAATTCTCTTAGGTCTGTGCAAGAAAATTTTCAGTGGTTCAAGCGAGAGATTTTAGAAAACATGACCGTGGTATGCAATCTAGCAATTATTGACTATTTTCAGGTTAGCAGACACATCCAGAAGGCCTCATATTTAAGAATAATCATTTCTAGAAAGGTATTGAGACAGTGAAACAGGACACTAATCTAACAGAAGACAGCAGAACTCCTCTGAGGGTATGATAAGTGTTAGTCTTCCTGGAGGATATAATTTACAAGTCATACAATGATGTATCATTAATACTGAAGATTGACTAAATCATCTGAAGTTATGCGCCTTGTTTAATTTAGATTTGTCTTACTTTTTGAGACTTTAGGTCGGTCAGGGCTGTGGAGTCGGAGTCGGAAGCAATTTTAGGTGGAGTCGGTAAAAATGTACTGACTCCCACTCCGACCTCGATATAAAATATTAGGAACAATTTCAATACCGTGTGAGCCATCGCCGGCCTCAAGCTTAGGGAGATTCAACGACGCGTTAAGCCACATGGTGTGGGAATAATGCTTTGTAACTTTGGCTCCGGTACCTTAAGAATACAAACTGTTTACAAATCAACTGATTTCTGCAATAACCATTAGACGTATATTTAAATGTATGTTATAAGTCTAAAAGTAGGCTGATGATTCACGTGGTGGTGATGAAATCTCTTATGGTGCCATTTACCATTTTAGTAGGTTTAACCTTATTAATACATATTGAGCTTAAATGAAGGAGTGAAGAGTCGGAGGTTTTAGTACCGACTCCACACCCCTGGTTATGACACCTTGCAGTCTTGTAGAAACATATTACCTCATCTTTAGAATATAAGATTGAGGCATCATGTTCTTGTTGATAACCACCATTGACATGATCTTACTGTTCTCGACTTTCAGACATACAGACTCTTTGAAACTATTCATAATTATGTTGGAAACACTGAAGTGCTGGCATTTTCTTGTTTCGTAGCAGGTTTGGCAATAGCATCAGCACTGGTGACTCTGGGTAATCCTCGTAAAGTCAGCATTGACCCTACAGGAAAAGCAGACGCAAAGTGCAAATCTCGTAAGTCATCCAGCCAGCATCCGGAGAGCTGCATCTAGTGTATGGTGGTGTTCAGTGTCGCTACTGTGTCACGAGCAAGCAAACTGCGTGCATTACAACACAAGATTATAATTACTGTACTTTATTGAACATGCCTTTGTTTGACGTACTAGTGATGTGCGAACAGAGTTTTTTTTAAGTCAAGTTGAGTTCGAACCGAACAGTATTAAAATTCTTGAGTTTCGAGTCGAGTTCAATCACCTTTTATTAGGCCTATTTTGTTCGACGCCAAAGAGTACACTTCACTAGATATACGTTATGGTTCAGAGCTATCTTGTACTTTTTCCTCTTGTGACTGGATCAGGATTATGTTCATTGATTTCTTTCTCAGTTACATTTATTGCTAACTTGACCTCATCTTCTGACAACAGCGTGGCTTTAAATCTATGATCCATAAACATCGCTAGAGCGTTTGGTTTCATTTTCCGGTAATTGGAAAAATTAGCTTTGATTTTATGAAATTCTCCAGCAGTGTTTGTATGCAGATTATTAGAGGAATTACCATGGTTCTCCACTTAATTCTATGCGTGCTAGGTCTATAGGTTGTAAAATGTTGGCCATTTCAATTACTGTCTGCCATTCAGCTTGATTAAAACATTCCACCTTGCCACTCTCTGCTAACTCGGCAGAAACCGGTTCACTCTGTTCGTCAAGTCTACTAAACGTGTGATACTCGCAGCTCCATCGAGTATTAACATCCTGAATGAGATTGTGTTCAGGTTTTATTCTCTTGCTTATGACCGAGTCTTTCTCGTACCTGAACACCAAGACCATGACGTCGAACAATTCATCTTCGTTTTTGGCTCAGTTCGCTGAAGTCTGGTGTCAATTTTTTTGTATCAGTTGCATTGTGTGGGCAAGACAAGGGATAGAAATCTGTTGTGTCGCAGAGATTGCCGATACCATGCTTCTGGCGTTATCAGTAACAACGTGCATTGGTATTGTATACGCTTCTAAATTCCATTCCTCTAAATCAGTTTTCAGTTTTTTATATACCGCAGATCCTGTGTGCTGTCCAGGAAATTATGAATTGGCGAGACTGGATCATTCCATTAAAAAATCACACGTAACAGAAATATAGCTGTCTTCTGCTTGGGATGTACAATTATCTGTGGTCAGTTATAGTGATGAAGCGGAATCTAAGTCTTCGGTTAAATTTTGTTTGATTTCTGACTTGCAGATTGGAATACGTTTCAAGTATAACACTTCTAGAGAATACAGTTCTTGAAGGTGCTTGATATCTAGGTTCCATTGTATGCAGGAACTCTTGGAATCCGCTACCTTCCACCGCTGAATATGGCTGATGATCCAGTACCGTCATTTTTCCAATAGCCGAGGTAACTGCTTTCGCTCAAGGTTCTGAAGGACTCATTTTCACTGCTTTCACAAAGCCACTGTCAGCTGTTTTGAAGTTTCTTTAGTTGTCCCCTTTTTACTGGTAATTTCTTTCTGCTTCCAATATTCTCTATTCTGATGTGGATGCTCGGCCAAATGTCGAATCAATGTTGTGCTTCCAGTAGGTATTTTGAGCGAAAGTTTGCGCATATTGCACTGTGCATCACTGTTTGATGTTGAAGTAAAAAGAGTTCCTCACAAGTGCACCTTTTTGAGTTTCTTAGTCACTGAATTTTTAGACATTTTTTATTTTGTTACTTAATGGGGTAAAAATATTATTGAAATATAGTTATTCACATATTACTAAGCTTGTTACGCTGCAAAGGAATTAATAATAATTGCTAGTAGCAGACGTAACAGTTCTCAACTTCCTTAAAAGTAAAAATTGCACAAACACTTCACATAACATTTAAGGATGGAAAATTTGCATGAACTGTGCAACAGTAAAAAAACTTATATGTGCAATGTATTTCATTAATAAGTGGAATTCAAACAGTGCCTCACTTTTAGTGCTCGTTAGCAGCGATAAATAGTCCTGTTCTAGTTTTCAGGCGTTTGGATTCTTATTTCTTCAAAGTGGTTAATTGTTTTTGATTACATACATTTTTGTTTTGCATAAAGAGTTTGATTTTAGAGATGACAAACCGTAAGCACGAGATCGGCTGATATTGGTTATCGTCAGTTAAGCGCATTGCACGTTATGAGCCGATACACCGAAGACAACAGTCCCGCCTTATCGGTGGTCCCATCTCCCATGCGCGCGTATATCCAACCAAAATACGTGTAGAGTGAGAGATCGATCCGCACTATGCGCTATCGATAACACTACGAGCTGAAAGTCGATGATTGCTGTATCGATTGCGAAGAGATTGGATCCTAGGCGCGATATTGGAAATGACGAAATAATAGTCGAAACTCGATTTTTTTGAAAATTTTCATTCGTTCGAGCCGAGTTTTTTTTTTAAATCGACTCGAAATTTCGAGCAGTTCGCACATCACTAACACATACACATTCAAAATCTACCTCCAAGTTATCTTTCTTTGTTTCTGAAATGCCTTACTTGTGACCCTAAATTACAGAAATATTATCTGCTTAAAATTGTTTAGTTTGCTGAATATTATTTGGCAGTGGTGAGTATTAGTACCCGCTAAAGGGACTACTGGTCATATTAAACGATTAAAAATTGTAATTTAATATATAAAGGTCTGTCCATATTTAGTGCCAAGAAGTTAGGTTACACAACAGACTTTTATATCATTAAAATTGGAGATTGCATATTCATATATACTCTCATTTTCTAGTTCTTCTGTGGTTTCCTAATCATGATTTGTATTTAAACAGTGGTTAACTGCTACATACTTCAGAGTGACTACAATATTATTCATCAATTAATCAATTAGAATACTACAAAAATAATTGTAAATTTTTATATTAAAGAAAATTCCTTGTTTGTTCATAAAAGATTTCGAGAAAACGATACATTTTAGTTTCACGTTAATGGAAATGATGTAATTTGCATGTTGTAATACATATGATAACGATTCTACATCTAATTTAAGATATAAATAATTCAAGATATAAAAGATATAAAATCTAATTTAATGTGTGTGTGACATGTCCTTGAATGGCCATGTAAAATATTAGACACCAGTTCAAGAATCTTGAAAATGAAGTATATGAATAGTTGCCTTCAATTAGCATATAATTTTAAACTATATTTCTGTGTTATGTGTATATTTAAAACAATTTCTGTTGTAAGTTAGCAATATTATTCTGTTACAGCTAGGGATGTCAGTCAATTTCAGTTGAATGACGTAATCAAGAACCATGTGAGCAGACTGTACCAGTACAGTCACTTTTCCATGTGGTTCCTCATTTGAATGTTGTATGCATATCTGAGTGTAAGTGACATGTAGCGTCTAGTCTAATGTGCTGAGATGTATGCTTACTTTACTTTAAAGAGGAGCGGAAATCTTGGCTAAGAGAGTTCAAGTTCAAAATCGGTGCAATTCCAATATATATATATTCCATATGACTGGGAATACAGAACTCACTGTAGGATTACTAAAAATTATGTTTCCTTTATTCTCTGTGAGATATTTAAATTGAGAAGTGGTTATCAGTTAACCATTTCTTGGTTCCAGTAGTTCAGACATGTTGTTACTTCGGGTTAAGTGGTAAAGATGCTGTCGTTTTTTTATTTATACCAAATTAAGGATGCGTAAAATTGTTACTTGGCTCATTCTGGCCTAAATAACTATAACAAGAGTAGATACCACAAAACCAACTAAAACTGGAAACATCTTAAATGAATATATTATGAAAGGTAGCGGGAGAAGCAAAGATATTAGGCATCAGTACAGGATGCAAGAAATGAGAGAATGCTTGAATATTGGGAAGAGTTAGTGAAAGAACCGCCTGTCGTGAAAGGCACTCGATAGAATTGTGAAAAATGGAAGGAAGTTGTACAACACTGCATAAAAAATGACAAGATTCACACTCTGGAGGGAACAGGCTTATGACCCGAAAGAAAAGAAAGAGAAAATGGAAGAAGACCACCTGAAAGCCAGGTGATACGTAGAGCTCGTAACTTAGGATCACAGGTGTGAAAATGCACTGCTTGCTGTCGCAGAAAGCATGGGGTGTGGAGCAATGGTGGAATGATGGTAGTGCTTTGAGAAAAATGAATCTCACTTAAAGTCACCCATCACTGAACCCAGATCTGTATGTTGAGAATCCATCATTAAGCCATGCAAGGTATTGCATGGCCTCGAGAAGAAATAATTGATATTTAGAGACACTCACTCACTCTATGGCGCAGGAAATTCTTTGAAAATTTTAATGTGTATTTGGCTTGTTAAAGATTAGACCACTTTCTTTATTGAACCCAGAGGTTCATCACCATATTCACAAAATGCTGCCACCAGACTCTATCCTAAGCCAGCTGCATCCAGTTCGCTCCATCAATTCCTGTCTCCCTAAGGTCCATCTTAATGTTATCCTTCCACCTACGCCTAGGTCTTCCCAGTGCTCTCCTCCATTCAGGCCTCCCGACCAACAACTTGTGAACGTCCCTCCCGACCCCATTGCATGCTGCATGTCTCACACACCTCATCCTCCTCGATTTAATCACCATAACAATATCAGGTGAGGAGTACAGGCCATGAAGCTCATCATTGTGCATTTTTTCCATGATCTGTCTCCCTCCATTTTACATCCAAATATCATCCTCAACACTTTGTTCTTAATACCCTCAATCTATTTTCCTCCCTCAAAGTGAGAAACCAAGTTTTGCACTCATGCATCACAATGGGCAAAAATACATTTATATATGTATGTGTGTGTATTTTTTATCATGTATGTGCGTGCATGTGTGTAAGAAAGAGAGAACAAAAGATTTTGTCTGAATGACAGCAGTCATTCCATGGATTTAATCTGCCGTTGTTTTCGTCATAAATGTCATTCAGACTTGTTAGTGTCGTCCCCAATTACATAAATTTTGTCACATTTTCGAACGACTGATTACCTATCCTTATATTCTGGTTGTGTCATGAATTCTGATGCCGAGACATGATCATGTACTTTGTCTTTTCTGCATTTATTTCTAGACCAACATCCCTACTAGCCCTTGAGAGTGTTTCTGTGTTCGCTTTTGTAGTATTTATATTATCGCCCAACAGATTAATATCATCAGCAGAGACCAACAGCTGATGTGTCCCATTCAATTCCAAACCTCCCTGATATTCTTGAACTTTCATGATGGCATATTCTAAGGAAAATTTTAAAAGTGGCGGCGATAGTGCATCTCCCTGTTTCAGGCAATTCTGAATAGGAAGTGTATTAGATAAATATTTACCTCCATGAATTTTGCTAGAGTTTTCACTTAAACACGTTTTAATTAGTTTGACTAGCTTCTTAGGTACACCAAATTTAAGCTAAATATTGTAAGGAGCTTCTCTTTTGATTGAGTCATAAGCTTTCTTGAAGTCTATAATAGTTGATGGATTATCCCATTGTACTCCCACTTTTTCTCTGGCATCTGGCGAATGTAGAAAATCCGTTTGCTTTTAGATCTATTTCGATGATCCTCAAAAATCGCATTGGCATATGGAGTCAGTCTCGCCAGAAGAATGTTGGATAAAATTTTGTAGGCAGATGGTAAGAGGGAGATTCCTTGATAAATTTGATAGTTAGTTTCATCACCCTTCTTATGAACTGGAACAAAAAAAGGTTCCTTCCTGCATCACTGAGTTTCTTCGAATCAGATCTTTCTAAATCAAATTTTTGCCTTGCTTGTGTACTTACTGAAAGTCTCTCCCTTAATTTTGCCACTACCAGGTGATGGTCAGTATCACGGTCAGCTCCTACAAAGGATCTGACATCGAATGTACCTTCGTGTTGTCTTTTGTCAATCAAAACATTACTTGATTAATGTTTGACACCGTCAGCAGAAGTCGAAGTATGTTTATGAATGTCAACGGTGACGGATTGTCGTGCTTTTGACAATTAGGTTTTTTCAAAGTTGCAAAATTTACTACTCTAACTTCATGTAGACTTACCAATAGTCGGTTTAAAAAGTCCTCCCTCCTTACGTTTGAATTGAAATCTCGTAGCAAAATTTTCATGTAGTACCTAGGAACTGGTCATATACCTGTTTAGTTCCTCGTAAAAGTTATCCTTTGTGTCATCATCTTTGTCCTCGATGATATCATACCAATGACCCTTTAGAGTTACGCCGACGTCCTGTCGCTAACAAACTGTACTCTTGTAACTGCTGAAATAATCCTGTTATGTACAAAAAAAATCCCTGTCCCTAAGTGGTGAATAGCATTCCCTTTTCCATAGAAAAATATATCAGTTTTCTGCTATTTGATGCCCCTCCCCTTCCCGCCTAACCTCTTGTATTCTCATTACATCTGGGTTGTACTTCTCTAAATCCCCCGCTACTGATTTGATTGATACTCCTAATATTCCACGTGCCAAATCTCATGTCCTTTTCACATTGCTTGGGTCACGCCAAAGAATCAGTCCAGGCCTTTAGTCATTTTGTTTTAAAATAAGTTTTTACGGTGAAGGGTTGTTACGCTTAACCCCGAAGCTGGGAGACCACTCCTTGTCGGCTGTCCACGACTACTTATTCAGCTTATTCACAGTTACTCTTCTCATCTGGAGGTCTTCTGCCTTCGCATCCTGAGTGCACACCGTGCCGTCGTAACATGGGACATTTGGAGACGAGGGAATTAAAATGTTAAATGCCATAGAGTGTGTGGGTGTGTATATGTATGTGTGTGCGCGCATGCAGATGTGCACATACACATGCATATGTGTTCATATGTATGGGGCTCTTTCTGGTTAAAAACTGCTGAAGGCATGTTTTAGCTCCCTAGGTGTTTGCGTGTGTGCATGTGCGTGTACGTGTGTGTATATATGCATGTATGTATAGTTTGTATATAGACGTGTATACTCAAATGTAAGTATATGTGGACTTGCACATGTGTGTGTGTAGTCTGGCGTTTATCTTGGTGCTGTCAGTAAATTCATAATTTTAATTTATTAATTATTTATCTCAACTTATTAATAGGGTCATTTTGTCGTGAATGCTAGTACG